GTAAAGTAATTAGCAGCCGATGCATGTAAAGTAATTAGCAGCCGATGCCCATCATATAAAGTAATTTGTATCTATTAATAAAAGTACAGTAACTAATTAATAACTATACTTGAGAGATCGTCTGACCATTTACAGTGAATTGTTTATATGACAGGGCGGTTGTAAAGGCAGCATGAGCATCCGGAATTACGAAACAACTTTTGGAACCTTTCTGTGGATAAAAATTTAATTTGTTGTGGTTAGTGTGCCGAACTGTGGATCTGAGATTCTGTGGTTCCCTTACAGCTAATAAAAAAGGTCGCGTTCCACTCTTTGGGTCAGTTATACTATTTGGTCTGACAAGAGTAGTTGAAGAGTTTGACGTGCGTGGTGTTGACTAGCTGCCTTCCCTCTCGTCTATCGCTTCGAAATTAGGGAAGGCTAGCGCAGATAGTCCTCGAATAGCTTTGCACGAAATTCAACAAACAAACAAAGGAACGATTGTAGTAGTCTATTACTCATAGGATTAACATACATTTTAGTCAGACATACAGCCTCCAACGTTTTATGTTAGAACTTGTGCCTTTGTTGCACAAGACGTAAGGCATGTAAACGTGGCTTGTATGTTCATTGTGGTTTAGTTTTATTGGTATTAACATTAATATCGTATTCTGTTGTGTGTATTATTATGGATGTCTTACGTTTTAATTTTTATTGTTGTTTTATGTTGAAATATTATGGTCTTTTTTTCTGTTATAATAGTTCAAACTTACTAATAAGTGTCAATAGAATATTCATACAAGTTTGAGCGCTTGTCAACATGTGCAAACATTTTGACGTGATAATCCAGTATTTTTATGTCCTCGGTTCGATAACAAACGTGGGATCTTTTTTCCGTGCTAGCCGAGTGCTAGATGGTTAACCCTTTAGTTATCGCTACCAATGAGCTTTTTTTTTCAACAACTCGGACTACCACAATGGCGTTCAAGAAGCTCGCATGTATTGAGAGGAGTTGGCCTTGAAGATGTATGTAGGCTGTATTAAGATTAAGTTTCAAGGTCACAATGTAACGATAACATTCATCAGTAGGAACCTTTTAGAATAGGGATTTATTATTCGACTGTGGTCGATTTTCTGCACATACATAAAAAAAAATCATTGAACCTAGAAATAAGCGTTGTTTTTATAAATCTTCTGGGGGAAAGCATTAACAAATATTGTCATGAAGAAACGACAAACAAAACAAACAGCGAGCCGTGTGCCTAAAATCTGTATGAATGAAACTAACTCAGATCACAAATAGTTTATGGTAACTTTCAGTTGCTTAAGTAGTATGGGAGAACTTCGTTAAACTATTATTTGCATTAGTTCAAAACTCGCAACTCCTCTAAAGTCCAAATCTTTACATTCTATCGTTAGATGGTTCGGGTGTGACTTTATGGTTATCGCATAAGGCTATGGATCTGAGAGTCCACGGCTGGGGTCGCGATGTTAATGAAAACTTTCTTCATATTTAGATGTGAGGTCGTTATCAAAGTGGCAGTAATCCCGTTATTTGGTCCTAATGACATGATAATGACCTGGTGACGACACCTCTGCTGACTAGCTACCCTTTTGTTGTCAGTGTTTCAGAATTAAAAACGATTATACCAGAGCCCCAGGGGTCTTTGATCTGCTCATTTTTCACGTTTGCGCATAAAGTGCTGTTCAGGTTGAAAATACCAGTTTCAATATTGATTAAAATAGTAATTTAATCTGCTTTTGTATTGTTAGCTATGGAATTGTCTTCTATTATCGTATAACAAAAAAAAACAACTTTGCTTTGCTGCTTAAATTTCACTGATGGAATATTCAGAGTTTTACTTTATTTTGATTCGAGTTTAAATACCCCAACATTCTTTTCGTTTCTGTCACAACTTATGGAAATTCTCGCGTTTAACCAGTGGTCACTGCCTTCTGTTTGGCTCACCAGGTCACAGTATTTAGGAAAACCCTGTGAGCCATTTCCCTGATGTACTCGAAATAAATAACAGATTGGGTTTTTACAGTCTTTATTTGTTTCTCACGGAGTTGATTTTGGTGTAATGTTATTTTAAACACACTTAATACGTATGCATAATTAGTGTAAAAAAAAAATTTGAATAATAGTAAAATATTCATTCTGTTTAACGAATATAACCTTACTTTTTGCTTTTATACTTACCACTTAGTTTAGTAGGAAAACTAAGCTTATTAGTGATTCTGCGCCGTATTACAACACACACACTTCAAGAAGAACGTTGTAATGAGACTTAAAACGCATTCGATTTTGTGTGGTATTTGGCATGTATACATTTATATAAATATTTAAGCATAACGCAAAAAAATGCCTAGTTTTAAGTTAATTCTTTAAAATGACTCGTTCAAACCATTGAAATAGTAACAACGATGTTCTCATGGTTGGTTACATTATATTACACAGTCTGTACTATCAGACCAACGTTTCAAATGACTGGTTCTTGAGGACTGATTTTAGTAATTTTTGTTTAAAATGTTTCATTTGTTATTGCCTACTACACCTTTTTCATTGACATTTGGGGATATGATTCATACTAATACAATTTCTAAAGGTCAGGACCTTGAATATCTTCAGTGGTTTTGCCACAAGGTAATCAATCCCACAACCCTTCACACCATTAAGTAACAATCATAGATTTGTTATCTGTACGTTACAATGTGCAGTAGACAGTTAACCAAATAAAGAATGCAAGTTTTCTTCCAACGTGATACACACGCTTATAATGTTTGGTGAGGGTATTTCAAAACATCAATAAGGAGCTGATTGGTTAATTTTTTGGGACATTATTTTGCCCTTAAACGCTTGTAATACACATTATTAAAACTCTTAGGTAAATATTTGTTCAGATTAAAGCTTCTTATAAATGTGTCCGTCTGTTGGTGTTTTTTATTGCCTTGCCCTTAATACATGTTAAAATTCATATTTCTGACTCTTACCTTTAACAAATGGTGATTTTTGATCAACCAATAGGATTTATCCACGTATTTAACTGCCATACGAGGGTCTACTGTTATTTACACACGTGATAAAGATATGAAGTCTCTTATCCCAGTATCCTGTTCCTGCCATAAACATCTTTGTTTATCACCAAACTTTTTGATTATAAAGGTCTTAAAGTATAGTTGACAAGGATGATAAAGTTATCAAATCTAGAAACTGTGGTAGGTTTACCAACACCCCTAGAAAACACGTGACGTTTTGGGTGTTCAAACTTGTTTACGTGAAATAAGGTTTAGCTCTTCTGTGTGAAGTCGGTCGTTGATGAAATTGTCAAAACGACCAACGGGTTTGCGACTGAAGTTTTGTGAACATTATTCGTAATAATTACCTGTTCAAGGGAAACTTAACTATGTGATGAGGTGTAAAAGTTGACAGGGTAGGAAGAACCAATAATGTTAGTAGGAATACGTAAGTAGAGAGCACACCCAAGGAAACTGGTTCTTGTTATGACGTTGTTAGGTGTTTGAAACAACTGAGAAGTTTTGAAATGTCGTCAGTTTAGATTTTAGGTCATTAACTTTCGTATATACCTGTACAGGTTAAACCTCTCGTGTTTGTTCAGATGATGAGTGAATTAATTTCAATGTCGTGTATGTGTGTGTGTATGTAGAAAAATAGGACAAGTAGACATTGAACTGCTCGTGATGTTCCTGCTAATTACGAGATTTTTCATTTGTAGTACTTGTTTCAAAAGTGGATGATAACTTGTTACAAAACTGAGAGTCACGTTTCTTTCAATAGCTGCACTACTAAGTACTGATAGATAGTTGCACTATTAAACACTGTCAAACGGCTACACTATTAAGCACTATCAGACGGATGTACCATTAAGCTTTGTTGGACAGCTGCAGAGAAACCCTTATTAACATGCCCCTTGTTTCAAACTGTCATCCCACAAAGTTTGGTTGAGATTGACCTAGCGACCTATAAGTAGTTAGATAACGGACAAACAGACAGACACATATATTTTTGTGCTTTATATTGATACTTCGAAAACCCTACTAAATATACCTAAAAGGCTCAAAACTGTAAATTTGTAAATGTAAATTATGTATAAAAATGCTTACTGTGATATTGGGATTTAAAAAATTAACAGTAACTTTTGTATAGTGCAAAATATAATACGCTGCTACTCCGTTGAAAAGTAATAGTTGTAGGAGCGTCAGGAGTTAGAAGAAGATAAGTAGAAATAGGAGCAGTTCAGAAGCAACAAGTTTATTTATAGGTAGTTTAGTTACTGGAGAAAGTTAATTTTCTCTCTGGTGTTTAGTGTGATTTCATAAAAATATTTGGAGCATGTCTTTTTTTTTTATCTTGAACAAAAGTTACAAGTTAAAAAGTATCTAACGCACAAATGTTGAACAAACCATGAATTAAAATGTTTCAATGCCTTTGTTTTTCTAGATTTCAGGCATAGCCATGTAGTTAGTGCTGAATTGTAAATTCGTCATCCATGGATCGTGGACCGTTGCTATAAAATAATGTTTCGCACCTTGGGGCCATGGGTGCGTTATAAGAGTGACCGTTAAATCCCACTATTCGATTAAGCTAGCCCAGGAGCTGGCGGTCGGTGCTGTTGGCTAGCTTCCTTTCCTCTAGTAGTCTATCAGCAGAAAATCAGTGTGGCTAGCACATATAGCTTTGTGCGGGTACTTGAAGCAAACAAATTATTTTTTCCCATTTTTAAACATTTCTATCTGACGTCACATGAATTAGAACTTGAATTTTTTTTGCGTTTCGTGAAGATTGTTTTTAATGTAGCTAATTCTGAAAGATTAGTATATCTGTGCACAGCCACAATTACAATATGAGGTCTATTTGTGAAACGGCTATTAGTGAAGAAACATGTAAAACGATATTTTCTGTTTCTTTGTTTCATTAGTATCATGTGGAGATCGCCTCAGCCAGATGACCAAAACGTACAATGACATAGATGCAGTAAGAGCGTTACTTGAAGAGGTAAGTCTGGCTCAACGTATGTATCTGTATGTATAAAACTACACAACAGCGAGAGTGTTTGTTTGGCAGGAATTGATACAATTTATTGTAATTCAAATTTAACTAGCTGAAACATTGTATTTTGATCCGGGATAAATTACTGGTAAAATAAAAGGTTTCGTACGATGCGTCGGTGGAGCGCAAGTAATACTAAACGGATTTGGTCTTGCATCGTGTATTTTCATCCATCTGCTGCTTCTATTTTCCAAGGTTTAATAATTGAGTTGTTAGTTACAGTCTTATCCAAAACGATAATATTATACAAGACAACGGTATAGAATGAAACACACTCGATCAAAACATCGATTGTTACAGATGACATAATCGCTGGTAATTCGTATCAAAACAATTAGCCAGTCTGGATACTCGTGCATTATGATATCTATCATCCCGAATGTTGGAGTATCAATGTACCAGCTAAACCGGGCGCATGGTGTGAATTCATAGAACTGAGTTGTGAAATGGATTTGAAATACCTAAAAGTAAACGGCTGACATTTAATGCACGTCTTGTCTGTTTCATTTCCCAGTAGTTGTTGGTCTTTTGAACACACTGTCCGTATATTTATATAGTGTGATAATATTTATAGTTAATATATGTATGAAGCTATTTTTTTATCGTAGAAAGAGAGAGACCTTGAGTTAGCGGCTCACATTGGCCAGTCCTTGCTTGATCAGAACAAACAGCTTATACGGAAAAATGAATGCCTTGAGCAAGAACTTGCTAATGCCAATGGAACAGTGAGTTGATGACATCTCTTGATCATTCTTTATAACTGTAAAATGAAATATTAGTTGTTAGTTTAATTCAGTTACTGCTGAGAAATTTATTTACTCAGTTATTGTAAAGTAAATAAACGCTTTGTCCCCGAGTGATATTTTGTGAGAGAATCTCTGATCCTAGAATATTCCTTTATTGGATTCTTCCTTTTTTATTTCTAATCAATTATCGAAATATGCAATAGACAAAATGCGTTAGGATTAAATAGATTATTGAGATGCACGTAATTTAGTGTCATATTAAGATCTGATCATATCACACGAATAACTAATTAGCAGTAACACCTTGTCACATTACTAACATATTTCTTGTAGTCATCTCTAGAGAATGGAAGGAATCCACCACTTGGTTTTAGATAAAAACACTATGGTTGAGAATCCTCTGTTTCGATACATAATCGCGATATAAGATATTTATTGTATTCTTGACTGGTTTATGAATACATAATTATGATGTTTGGCATCTTTGGTTTTACTGAAGCCTGGAAACAATTCATCATTTTTGGATCCATCATTTGCCTCCGTATTTGTTCCTAAATTTACTAAGCATTGTTCAGTAACACACGTGTCATAGTCCATCAGATATGACTTGTAAAATTGGTTCCAGTAATCAGTCAAAAGAACTATTTTAAATTGGTATCATTGCTTTCCTTATGTTCTAATCTTCACTTTTTAGTATGATGGACCTTTTCTTTTGGTAGCTTTCCACCTGAATTGCCGCATTTTATGACTGTTGTTAGGCAACATCAGTTCTGACATTGTGTGAACAGATTCAGACGTTAGTTGTCATAATATGAAGGTTATATTTATTTAGTTTTTATTTAATGTGTACACATGTGTATCTTTGTAAAGTTTGCGATGCTCTGAATTATAATAATATTATTTCTATTTTGTTGGTAACAGTTTTCACGGCCACTTTGAATTAGCGCTTTATTATCAGACACGTTTTTTTTTTCTTTTAAGTCACATTTTTTGTGACTGAATCCACATAATCACTTCACTTTAGTGCATAACCATATTATGAGAGTATGTAATGCAAAGGCATCATCCAAAATATGGACACATTTGTCTCCGATATCATACCTAATTTGAAAAATATTCGATGCTCCTTTATATTTTATACATTATATATTTTAATTTTTGATATTTACCGCAGGGGCAAGGTTGGGTCACTAATACGACTTGCAAACTCATTAACCCAAGTTTCATAGGTGAGCGTTATATCATCATAAGAATCGAGATACCGTAAGTTTATCCATCTAACTATAGAAGTTTTAATGACAATTTATACCCATAGTTCGTAGTTTGAATGAATGAATGGGTAACTACATAAACAGACAAGGATATTACATACATATTCAAACAAGTCAGAATAATAACAATAGAGGAATTTGGAAAAGAGGAAAGTTTTAAAAGCAGTTCAGAATTCAGAGCAGATGATAAGGTGAGAACATCTGCAACTTTACACATACAAGTATGCTCAGAGAATGCAGAGCTTGCAAGTCGAATATTTGGCATATGTTCAAAAGATCTCGTGTTGTGTGAAGCAAAATACCATGGATGTTGTTAAAGAGTTTGTTCGAATAAGTTATAAAGAACGGAAAATGTCTTCGCCAGATCCAAGTACTGAAGAGAAAGCACAGCATCAAATAGAAAATGCAGCTATTTAAAAATATATTAATTTCTATCAAGACCTAATATTTTCCCCAAAGGTAATATAATTTACTTTAATAAGTCGGGTTATGGCAAAGGAAGGAAGGAAGCTTGGTGGTACTCTATGTTACTCATTAAAGAAAAACTTGCTGAGAAAAATATCTGCCACATTCATTTGTTGAACTGAAGTTTGTTAGTAAATCTTGCAACAAAGTTCTGATTTACCCCTCCACACTAGAAATGGGGCAGTTGGTTCTGAAGAATTTCTAACTGAACAAAACTTCAAGCTTTAGCTTCAGTGGATGGTGTAGAAGAATTAGTAGTTAAAGCAGCTAAGATTATCCATCAGGAAATACTGTCCATTTCACAGCAACTGCCATGGCCACCATGAACCATAGAATAATTCATTATATGTTCCTACCAAAGATGACACCTTCTACAACACTATTCTGTGTGGTAGTATGAAGGATTCAAAGAGCTCGAGAGTGTTAACACTGAAGAACTCCTTCGTACATGATATGGTATATGGTGTGTTCAGAGGTACAATTAGACCACCAAAAAAAGTTCTTATAGCATCAGTAATAGTCATTGTGAAACAATACTGAAATTATCCGATTTTTCAACAAACATGACAATTAATTAGTTATGATGTTAGTGAAGAGCTTGAAACAGAACATGCTTTGCGAGTTAACGGCAAACAAAGAGATAAGAGGGTTATTTTACTTGATAATATTTCTCCAGCTTATAAAGCAAGACAGAAAGTTGCCCTTATAGTGTCTGAAAATATTAACAATCTGGTGAGTGTTTTGAGTGGTGGTGTAGCTTCACATAGTGCCAATTCTATTCTTGTTTTTCGAATAAAAATTTAAGTAGCACTGGATCTGCAACAGAACAGAATGAACATGATTTGTTAGGTCCTAGAATATAGCGCTGTAGAATGTTACCAGAAGATGTAATTACACAAGACATGCCTGATATATCATTTTTGAAAGCGTGAAGACCCAGGAGAATTAAAGTGGGTACAGAAGTTTGGTATAAATCAAAATAAACGCCTGAGCCAAAAGATGCAGCATCTTGCTTGATCGTCATGTCGTAGAATCAAAACTCATCCCAACGTGTTTGTTCTTGGTAGGACTGTATTCAATATCATAGTCAGAAAAAATGTTGTTGTGCTGAAGAGTGTTATTGCTACCTTGATACAACTGACAGGCTAGCCACTGATGGAAAAACAGCATATGAAGTTCTATGTAGGGACTGTATTATTAGAGACAAGCTTCATCTAGCAGCTGTAGTCTGCGTACTTGATTAAGCATTTTATGCAAAGGCAATTGAAATCTTTTGGGCTTAATACTCATGATGGGTGGATGCAACCTTTCTATGCTGCTGCTTTGTATTATTGGTGCACGTTTTGGAGATGTTTGTTTGAGGGAAATTGCCATTCGGAGTGAGGTTGTTGCAGAAGGATCAGTAGATAGAACACTTGCTGGAAAGAACCATAATGAAGCTATTCACTTGCACAAAAATGAGTTATGAAGCAATTATGAGATTACTGTTAAATGTATTTGAGAATTCAGTTACATTTGATGACGCACATGGTATTCTGGAACGACACAGCAATGTGGCTGAAGAATTAATTAAAGCTGAACCTTTGTCCGGAGCAGTACGAGTCTCACCCTAAGAGCACCGAGCTAGAGATGTGGCAGAACCTACTAGAAGAACACATGATTATTATTGAAGCAATTTGTGGAGATCTTGTCACGTTTTGGATGACATATCTTGAACTGTGAACTTACACTCAACCTGATATTTGTGACTCGAACTGGTGACTGGAATCTATATTTAGCTTCTATAGCAGAAGTCATTCATGTACATTTGCTTATGACAGACAAAATTATGCCACGTATTTGGTCCTCTTCATAAATGGCATACGATATCTACCAATATCGATGCTAACAGTTCACACAGCATTTCGTAATGGAGAGTTTTCCAGTCCAAATGAGTTCAACAATTACATTTGGTGGAAATGAGGCTGATAAGGTAATTGAGAACACTGTCAATCATGATTGGAAAACAACTGGTGGATACATTGGTTTTAGCATCAGTTTCTTTGCTACACAAAGATGGCTGCTCAATGCAACACGTAGGGATGAATACAAAAAGGGTTTTCGAGAGCATCTTGCTATCAAATCTAAGACATATGTTCACAAGGAGCTTGTCCGCTTGTGTATCCAGAATTGATAATAAGACTGTTGAAGAAGTAGTGCATGTGCTTTATGGTGTGCTGTCTAATCCATGGACAGGTGGAGAACTAACAAGTCTGTATACTGGAATTGAAGCAACAAGTGTTGTACTTGATCATTTACTTAAATGCTAAGAATTATGGAGGCTTACGAGTGCTTTATGAGCAGTCGCTTTTCATTAGATCGCACACTGGATTTCTTTAATCCTCTTCCTAAGCTAAAACTAAAGACCTTCAAAAACTTGACACACAAGGGTAAAATAACAACCAAAGGTAAAACAGTTCCATTGAAATTTGACCACACTATATTTGACAGGATGACATTGTTTGGGCAATACAGAAAAACTAACAAAGCCCAACTGATGAACTTTTTTGAAGAACTGAGTCCCTACATTGGAGAAATTCCTACATAATGCTGTTAGCATATATGATGGCATTACTGTTTTACAGAAATGCAAGTCTCTAGTAGGAGCAACAATTTGTTTTCTTGCTTTGAAAGTCTTTGAAATCATGATGAAAAATCTACAGTGAGATGTGCATCAAAAGTCAAACTTCAGGTACGATATACAAGAACATTATATCAACTTATCCAATACAATTTTGGCAGAATTTCCTGCATCATTCCTCCAATAAAACAGAAGTCATAAAATTCCTCTTCAGTCAATGGTCAGCACAAGAATTTCTTGAGAAACGTAGAGACAGAGTGTTGTTTGTGACATCAGGAAGTGAATTTTTAAGGCTAAGTTCATCTGGAGCAGAAACCATTTCAGAGTTATCTTGCTCCCAAGAAGAGGCAGATTCCAGAATTATTCTTCATGCCAACCATGCCTCACGGACAGTGTGTCCAGTTGTTATTCATGCAGATGGCACAGATATGTTTGTCCTGTTACTGGGTCACAGTATTAATATGAAAAAAATGTAATCATGAGTGTTTGTAAAAGATTAAAAAAAGCGACTGATCCAACTACACCTGATCATTGACAAGATGAAAAATATGTGTTGCAGAGAAATGAATGTCAAATATTTCCTAAAATCCTTCATTTGCTTCTACGCACCTAGTGAATGGGATTTTGTTTCATCTTTTTGTGGGAAAAGAAAGCTTAAACCATTGAAAGTGGTCGCAAAAAAGTCAAATTATATCGAAGCTTTGATGGATCTGGGGAGTTGCAGACAACACTGTGTCATAATGATGTTTTACATGTACGGGAAGAAAATGGTGGATGTGAACTTACTATGGTATCAAGTTCACTGTGCATCAGGAAGTAAAATAGAACCTGAAACTTTACCACCATGTCTCGTCAGTAAAGCTACATGTAGAACGAGCCAATTAACAGGCTACTATTTGGAGAAGTGATCTTTTACCAATCTGTAAATGCCTTCACTTAATGAACGAGGATGGGAAGTCAAAAATTGTGTGATATTAATCAAATGGCTAAGTAGTAGTCCTGGTCCTGACGAGATTCTTGAACTTCTTTGTTGTATGTGTAAGAAGAAGCGTGTTACTGCCTAAAAACTGGTCTTAAATGCACTGACATGTGCAAGATTGATTGTGACCACATGATTTCTGGAGAGACAGACATCTTCAACATTGGAGCTGAAGACAACGAAGTTGATGATGAGAATGATAATGAAGAGGACATAAATGACTAAAATCTAGATAATAGGTCTCAGATCTGCAGGCAGTTTTGTTGATATTTTTAATGTCACCCAACAACTTCTGGAGAGCGAAGGATAAACGTTGATAAGGTCTCAAACTTTTTTATTTGTGAGGTACAAGATCAAATTTGTTTCAAAATTCTTTGTCCTTTTTTCCATGTGTTCCGTTCAGATGACTCCAGTAATAATTGTGGTACTTGATGTAAGCGAATAGAAACTTACAAAATACGGAATATGGTTAACACTAAGTAATACAATTTCTGTTATACATTTTTTTTGTAATCAAATCTAATGGAAATAATGATAACAACTGAAAGATAAAACGTGTTATCCATGATAATCAAGTAACACAGTGTACTGCTGCTGCTTCAAACAGGCACATACCCCTCTCTAATGAAATCGTGTGATACAAGGCCGTAATTTTAAAATTACCCATGATTCCATTTTCTCTCTGACTTCTCTACCCAGATTAAAATGTCGCCAATGTGATAGGACATGGCCGTAAATACCAACGATCATCTGTCAATTCAAGTATTGTTATGCCCATGAATTACATAAAAAATGTCAAAGTTTCCATTCTTCCTCGTAATACTCACAAGTTCAGCCTTCCTCTCCCGTTTCCCACAGAAGAAGTGGACGGGAATGAGTGGAAGGCTACTATTGGATATTGTCCATCATACATTTTTGTGTTTGTACAAGTGTGAAGATTAGTTTGAAAGCGTTTTTCAGCTGGTTCTTCGAGATGAGTAGTAGGCCCCACTCAGCTGAAGGACTATCACTGGAGAGAGCTTTATTGAATCCTTACAAAAGTTATGAATATTTCAAGCTTGGTAAAAACACTTTATGATACAATATTTTTTACTCAGAAAAGACTTGTGTATAGCGGTAGGAGCATTTTTGTTATTACATTCCCAAAAATAGTTTATAACGAATTTGGTAGATTAAGCTTTTCGAAACACGGTACTTAACTTACTAAAACAATCTTATTATATATAATAAATTTATTCTTTTTATAAGATTTGTATATAAATATATATATATAAATTGCTGTCAAGATAAACTTTGTTTTCATGAATATAGTTGTTTACTATAGATAAGCTTTGTTTTTTATGAATGTAGCTGTTTACTACAGATAAGCTTGTACTGCTGTACAGATAAACGTTTTTTGTTTTTTTTTTGGTGAACAAAGCTGTTTACTGTAGTTTAGATCGTATTCCTGTACAGATATGTCAACTAAGACGAGACTTGGCAACCAAGGTTGGGCTACTTCAGATATACACCGAAGATCTTGATGCATCTTCTGAAACAACAACAGCTGTGTAAGTGACTTGCTTTTAAAATATTTCAACAACAACAGTTGTGTAAGTGACTCGCTTTTAAAGTATTTCAACAACAACAGTTGTGTAAGTGACTCGCTTTTAAAGTATTTCAACAACAACAGTTGTGTAAGTGACTTGATTTTAAAGTATTTCAACAACAACAGTTGTGTAAGTGACTCGCTTTTAAAGTATTTCAACAACAACAGTTGTGTAAGTGACTCTATTTTAGAATATTTCAACCGAATATATTCCATAATAATGATTTCTACAGGTGTTCCCTGTACAGATATACGTTTGAAAAAACAATAACAACATTTTTTTTTGTGCAGAGGTCAAGAACTTCGTGACTGGGATCATCTACACAAAAATGTCCACTATCTCCAGGAGAAGAACTCCCAACTTCGATCAGAGGTTTGTAAGCTTATTCTAAGAACTGGAATGTTTCTACTTACTTTATGACATCATTTCTGTGTACCATTAATAATACTTAACAGCTTTTATCTAAGAGATGATGTTCATATTCCTTAGCCCTAACGTAATGATGTTGCTTATTCCATAGCTGTAGTCCAGTAGTGTGTTAATAATGTAAACTTAGTTGTGATTTACTACCTTCAAAGTGTCTATCTATTTTTTATAGTTAAGTATAGGTTACCATTACCTGTAGATAGATATTTAGTGCACATTTGATACTCTAGTCATCTGAGTGAAGTGGGGAACGCAATGGTTGTGTGAAAATTCATTAATAATTTCGATATCTAAAAGTGTTAACCCGATTCATCTAAAAACAAATACAAGTTAAATTTGCATCACTAGAAATGAGGAAAATACAATCAGTTCTTCACTTTGAGATTTCGAAACAAACTTGACAAAATGTTTATATTTAGGGTCTATCAATATTGGTTTGATTTCATAGGTTGACATGCAAGAAGCAGCCCTCGAACAAGAAGAAGAGAAAGAAATGCAGATTTTAAATGACATCGTTAAAGAATTAAGTAAGTTGTCGGTTTTTCTTTTCTTGGAATATTACTTTACTAACGACTTCGGAATTGATGTCAGCCAACGTTGACTGATAATATCGTAAATATAATGTAAAGAAGTTTGATTTGGTTGTTATTCATAAAGTTACGCAACAGGATATCTCCTATGCCTACCACAGGTATCAAAACCAGAATTCTAGCGCCATAAACTTGCTGACTTTCCGCTGAGCTGCTGTGGGGCAAATAATGATGTGAACCAAAACATTATCCAAGCAAGCTGTTTCACTGTTGTTGTTTTTTTTTTGGTATCTTTAAGAACAGAAATATTTGTTTTACCATAATATATCAGAATTTATTTCTCCACAAAATATACTAATATCTCTTTGAAATACCTAGTAACTAATAAGAACTGATAAGTGCTAATAACGTTACTTTAAACATAAAAAATACACCTTAAAAGCTTAATAACACTTAACCAATTTTTCTAGATCTGTCCAAACCGATGAGAAAATTCTAAATTACAACTTTTATCCAGGAATCAAACTCTTACCTACACAGAATAATCAAATTATTGATGAATATTAAAAGACTGGAAAATTAAGTAAGGCCAAAGGTTATTGAAAGAATAAGAATGTGGTTGCAAAAACGGGACTTCTAAAAATATAGTTTTGCAACTTTTTATTAACTCGTGGCACACGTTAGTGTTCAAAGTATCTACGCTTTATTTCTAAGATAAAACATAAATTGAACAAATTCAATAGAGGATTTATGTTAAGTATTACTGAATAACCTTTTCTGTTACTGTTATAAAATACAGATGTTTTCTTGAAATTATATTAAAATAGTATTATGTTACGTATTACAAGTTCGAATGGCTGAAATTGATTTAAATTGTAATTTAGATTTAGTAGTTAAATAAATGCCGATATATATCCAATTTATGATATTTGCTAACAAGATTGATATACACAGTTTTCTTTGTTTTATACAAATGTGTTTTAATATACAAACAATAATACAATTTACAATAACAGTTATTACAAACAGCTACTACAAAAAATGATTTATATACAAACGTTTTACAAAATTACAAGCAATACAAAGTCTTCTTTTTAGTTTGGAACTTCTTTGGTGTCTTATCGAGGGTTCACAATTTCGAGTTGACGTAGGTACAATTCACTTAATACGGAGCTAGCTAGCCCTGTGATCTTCACTAATCACACTCCTTTCCCACCGATGAAGTTAGATAATGTTTTCATAAAAGTACCAATGTCCGATGTGAATCCACTGAAGTTAAATGGTTTGTAATGTTCGAAATTTATAAATGTTCCTGATCAAATATCTGAAGTGTCCCAATTAATAAGCGTTATAACAATCACAGCTATAGCTTCCGAAGTTTATAGCACACCAATTATAGCAAACCAATAATAGATACTGTTTTGTGGCGCGTCGCGTTGGATATATTTATAGGCGTGTGGAGAGTTTCTCGATATTTCAGTTTTACGTAACAGTACTGACGCTAATACTAGTAGCGTTTTCGTACACACATATATTGTTGTTTCTTACACTAGAAAACATTTTACAACTTTAGG